TGCCTGCCTTAGCTTCCCAAACTTCTGGAATTACAGATGAGAACCACCATGTGTAGCTGAACCTTCCTTTTAATCTAAACACTGACCAGGAAATTGAGTGAATGGGATTCTTAGAATCCCGGTGATGGCTAAGTGCTGAACTAGGAGAGGAGAAGAAACTATCTCTGTATGTTTTATTCATTCTGCTAATTTTCACTGTGAGGCACCTAGATGTATCAGGCACTACGCTAAGTGTTTTATAAACATTTGGTCATTTAATCACAGTTAGCGAAACCACATTTCCAGAAAAGGAGCTTGAGAGGTGTATTGCAAAATGGGCTTGAAGCTACATTGTCATTTCATAGGACATTGAGGACAAGTCCATTGCTGCATCCGAGAACTCTGATCTTTCAAGTCATTTATAGGCACACATATTTGCAAAACGTATTCTCTAGAAGGTGCTTTTTTTTGGGGTACTGGAGATCGATCTCAGGACATTGTGCTTGTAAGGCAGGCGGTGGAACCACTGAGCTAAATCCCTGTCCTGAAGGTGCTTTGTTTGTTTGTTTGTTTTGTTTTTTAGGGGAGTTGATAGTACTAGGGATCAAACTCAAGGTACGCTAACACTGAGCTACTTCCCCAGCTTCTTTTGTTCTGAGAAAGGGTCCAAAGTTTCCCAGGATGGCCTTAAACTTGCCACCCTCCTACTTCAGCCTCCCATGTACTGGAAGCCAGAATTAAAAGCATCTGTCACTTCACCTGGCCTGAGTACCCCTTTTTTTTTTTTTTACTCTCTTTGGCCATGTCACTCTGCCCTTCTAAGATCCTATTCATTTGGAGAACATCAGACACCCTCCACTTGCCAACCTGATCTAGGGAACATTTTCAGTTAAAAGGAACTTTTTTTGTCTTCATTAAAAAGCCCACAAATAATTTGTGTGTGTTCTGCTAGAGCTTAAACCAGGGCCTCTATCATGTTCAGTAAGTTTCTGCCACCGAGCTATAGCCTCAGACCCCAATAAATAAAACTTTTAAGAAATGAAGTTTGTCTTTAAAAAAATATACTTACTTCGTTTTCTTATGTTCTTTTCATTTTCTTCCTTTCTCCACCAGAAAAAAACTAAAGCTTCTGTTTGAGAAATGAGTCAGTCATTTTCTGCTTCCTAGTTCTGTCAAAAACCCCATTTATATTCAGCATAGCCGAGTGAGGGATAGGGCTTTGCTCACAGGAAGCTACACACCCTTCAAACCTGTGCTTCTCAGCCAGCTCCACACTGCCTTGCCTAGAGCCTCTTTAGAAAAGCCAGGTAAGTGGGGTTGGGGACATCTGTAGGGACTGAAGTGGGGCCGAAGGCAACCCTGGGAGGTAGCCAGCTGGGACACCTGGGCATTTTGGTCATGCTGGTGCTCGCAGGTGGCACCTCTTGGAGCTTTAATGCCCTGCCTGACCCCACACCTCTGAGTCCTCATATGACGGCACCCAGACATGCAGCCTTCCTTCTCTTCCTTCTCGTTACGTGCTCTAGAAAAACAGTCAACTCCTATCTAAAATCCAAACATTTCTGCTTCTCACTTCTTGATATCAAGACTCTTGGGTCAAGAAACAGCCCCGCACACATACAGAATTGTAAAAGTTTACCAGCAGTCTTTCTTGTTTGTTTGTTCTTCTGAGACTTTCCTCACTTCTCAGCCTTATTTTTTCCCCCTTTAATTTTCACTGGTAAAATGGTGCCATGAATAGAATTGTTGCTCATTTAACAAACTTCATTAGAGATCCTGCCATCTACCAAGTCTTTAGCATCCATTTTTAGGAATAACCCAAAATCTCTTTGAAGAAAGCCTGAGCATTTGGGTCTGTGGTAGGAAGGATGGGTGAGGGACTAGAGGTGAATTCCTGAACAGTGTGAAAGGTTTTAATAAGAAAAGTCATAGTGTCATGAGAGCAAGAAAAAAGCAAGGGCCAGCCTTGTCTGACAGCCCTTCCTTCTCGAATTGCTCTGGTACACAGGTGAGCATGTGTATAACTTGTAGGTTTTAATATTTTCATCTGCCTGTGTGCGTGTGTGTTTGTGTACTGGCCATTGAGCCCTGGGGCTCACATGTACTAGGCTAGTTCTGTACCAGTGAGTCACATCTCTAGCCTTTCTCGTTCTGTTTTGCAGTGCTGTCTTATTAAACTGCTTAGGCTGGCCCAGAATTTATGATCTTTCTCCCTCAGCCTCCCAAATAGCTGGGATTAGCTTGGATTATAGGCATACACTGCTCCTGGTTATTTAGATAGAAAATGAAAGCCAATAAACTGTAATCTCAGCACTCAGGAAACTGAGGCAGGAGGATCACCATGAGCTTGAGGCCTGCGCTGTCTGCAAGAGTCCAAGGCCAGCCTGAACTACCTAGTGAGACCCTGTCTCAAAAAAGCAAAACAAAACAAAAAGATTATGGTTGGAGAGGTAGAGATTTTCTTTCTAGCTGTGCTTTTTTAAGATCAGGATTTTCTTTTTTTAAATTGTTTTGTAATCAAGGGGTTTTCTAATTTTTCCTGTAATAGGATTTGATGATGTATTGGACTGTTGGTTTTTTAAAATGTGTTTTGATGAAAAGACCAAAAATTTCCTTCAAGGTATCTGAGTATTATAATCTCCTGAAAGGCTTTAAAACCCACTGGCTGCATTAGGATAAAGTGGCTACATGTTTCCAGAGAGTCAGGAATGCATGCCCCCTCCCCCAGATGTGTTCCGGTGCTGGAGCTGGCTGAAACTAGCCCATATAGGGACAGATGATTACATGTTCAGAGATCTGATGAGGTATCTTGAAAGTAACCACTGTGGGAATATATTTGCCATAGAAACCAGCAAATGCTATAAAGCAGAGGTTCCCTCACCCTTACCCTAGACCTGATCTACCAGCTTATAACTATGACTTGGGGTCCAAGTAGCAAGTTCTACACACAAATGGTCTGGAGGTCACTTAATTTGGGGGGGGGGCTTGTGAACCCAGGAGCTACATCCCCAATTGGTCCTCCCCTGTTTTCTGAGACATGGTCTCACTTTGTGGTTCAGGCTGACATTGAACTATGTAGCCCAAGCTGGCCTTGAACCCTGCAATTCTCCTTACTCAGCCTCTCAAGTACTAGGATTACAGATGTGAACCATCACACCTGGCACCAATGTCCTTTTTAAAAAAAGAAAAATTGAAACAGGGTCACATTAAATTGCTTTGCCCGGGTTGGACTCCAATGTGACAAGAGTTTTCAAAGTCGTCTTGAGCTTAGTGATGATCATATCCTACTTTGTCAGTTTTGAAGTACTGCTTTCTCCAGGAATCTAAATATTTTCATGTGTTCTGGTTTGGTTAGGCTTACTTGATACAGGAATTCTGTTGGAGATGATATTTTAATGTATAATATTGGTGAATGTGCTTTGAAATCTATGTAGTATAAAGCATGCAAAAGGAATATTGGTGAATGTGCTTTGAAATCTATGTAGTATAAAGCATGCAAAAGGAATTAGTTTTTATATAAAGGCAGCCAGGTGATTAACCTGAGGTTTTTTTTTTTTTTTAGTTTTATTGGTACAATTTAGATATACAATAATAAAATGAGAATCAAGACCTATTATGTAAAGGTACAGAATCCTAATGATGAATGTAACTGTATTGTATACCTAGATTGTACCAATAAACTCAATTAAAATAGAAAAAAATTTTAAAAGTTAAAAAAAATTAGATATACCATAATGATCACATTCATCATAATGTGGTTTATAGTGGAATAAGAATGTGAGGGGGAATTTTTTTTTTTTTTTTTTTTTT